AAATTTCTATTATATATATAGATAGTGGACTTGTTAACATGTATCCAAGCTCACTACTGATTTGTACATTATGAAATTCGTAATGTATCTATAGTGAATCTGTTAACATGTCTCCAAGTTCACTACTAAATATCCCAGTTTCTAGAATACCTTTGGAAGACTCCAAAAATTATTACTGTATCTTTAGTGGATCTGTTAACATGTCTCTAAGCTCACTACTGATGTTGAATACCTTATTTTTTTGCTTGACTTGAAAGAATTTGGTATTAGATCTCCACAGGTAATCCAAGTGAGTTGAATCTTTGAGATTTTTTTCAATTTTCATATGGTTCGGAAATATGATATACCTAAGATGTTCTTTTTCTATTATATTTCATCTTTTAATACATTTATTTTATTATTACATGTCAAGCAACTTTTTATTAGAAAATTTTGCTAATTAAATATTTTTATATGACGAACAATTGTGGAAATTATTTCAAGACATTATTTTGTTGGATTTTTATACAATGGTATTAGTTATTTCGTTCAAATAATATAAGTTTATTTTTAAATTATGATACGATAGTTGTTTGGACTAATACTTCCTTTTGTTTGTTTAAATTTAATGAGATATATTATGCTTTATGCATTAATAACACATATTTTTTAGCATTAGACAAACTTGTTGCCTCAACAGACTCTCATTTAATAACAATTTTTTTAGATTTACTAGTTATAGACTTATCTCTAGAATTGCAAAGTAGAAAATTTTATCAATGGGTGTGGTTATTATTAATTAAGCAATTGATGGTAAAGGCTTGTGACTTTTAGCGTCAAATTAAGTGCATTTACTCGCCAAAAAAAAATAGACGCTAAATGGGAAAAATAAGATGTTTTAACAAGGATATTATGGCATTTATAATTTTCACAAAACTATTATCATTAGAGATAGAAATTTTTAGTGGTAATCTTTTTTGATTAGTAGTTTCAGATTTGATTTAACAACTATTTTAATTGCCGCTAAAATTAATACATTTTAGCAAAAAATTTAACTGAATTTACCGACTATAAAAATGTACGCTATGAACATAACTAAATGTTTTAGATTGGATTTAACAATCATCTTAATTGCGCAACCAACTTTTGCTAAAGTTAATTAATTTTAGCAGCAATATAGTTGGATTTACCATATACAAAAATGATGTTATATGAGCAAGACTAACCGCTTTGGACCAAATTTTAAAGTCATCTTAATTACTGTTAAATCAAATGAGATTTAGCAGTATAAAGCCTAACTTTACTAACACTTGTCCGGAAGCTCGTAAAAGTCTTTTCCAACCCTCGATTCAGTGACCAAAAGTCCATTGGTTGGTAGAGGATATAACAACCATTGTTATGACCGCTAATACTATTTTTAATTTCTGCTAAATTCCCTTTTTTTATAGTGTATGTTCCCATCAATGTCCCTATGTTCCAAGACCGAACTCACACCCTAGCAATCCCTTGACTCCCGCCCCCGTCCCAAATGAGGACATGAGCATAATCAACCATCATTCACCTAAGTCATTAAAACAAGTGTATTTTAGTCTAAGGTTTACTAAAACAAGCGAAGAGTCTAAGATTTATAGACAAACACCAAAACCACTGCAAGGTTTTACCCTTCACAATGTTATAAACACCACCAAAACAAAACAATGAAAAATCACAAGAAATACTCTAAAGCAAGAGTATATTCGGTGCACAAACACAAGAGAATAAGGTATATAACTAAAACAAAAAACAAAGGTAAAAAATCACAAGTTCATTAGTTCAAATATTTTTATTTGAAGATCAAGGCAAGAAAAACACGGCATGATGTGTAAAATATAAAGGTAAACAAAATAATAAATCTGCAGTCAAACCGTAATCGATTAAATTCAATGAAAATTTCAAAGGAATGAAACCAAAATGAAAGGAAGACAATAGAGAGACCTAAAGACAAGATGGAAAGAAAAAAAATGAATAGAGGGAAACAAGTGAGAACCACAAACAACAATGCAATTTTTTCAAGCCTTAAATATCTTGCGTGAGATGTAATAGTAAGAAAGAGAAAGAAAAGAGAAAATCTGGGAGTGCAGACTACTATTGTAGAAATTGAAGATACAACCCAAGTTTATTTATTTTTCGCATTGGCGTTGGAGTTGTATGGTTTCTATTGTCGCTGACACATGCAAAAGGTGCATTTAACAGAACTAATTAAAAGAACCATAGAGTCATTGACTCATGTAGCCTAGGAGAGAGAAAAGGCAAGTGAGAGGAGGGGAAAGATAAGAAGTCGAGAGGACATTGGTAAGATCAGCCGTTCAAGAAGAGTAGTAATGATACGATAAATAAATAAATAAATATATATATATATATATATATATATATATATATATATATATATAAGAGAATTCTAAGCTCGTTTTTGTGGTGCCACCATAAATTTTCATTCCCGTTTAAATTTATTCATTTTCAAAACTAGTCTTCCCTTGTCATGAAAAGTTGTGACTTTTATGAAAGGTTGTACCTTTTTGAAGGGTTGTAACTTTTCCAAAAAGTTGTGCCCTTTCTAATAAGGCACAATAAACACTTGTCCACACTACCCTATATTGTCTATAAATAGAGATTTTTTGTGCAACTATAATTTGTAAGTTTTTTCCCGCTATAGGGTAGTCAAATTCAAATACATTAATTAAGTTTTTATGACGTTTGTTTCATTCTTGAAAGTTTTCGTGGAGCTTAATCTTTACTATAAGTTATAATAATTCATGTAACTATGACAATTTCTTTTTCCTATTTTGATGACCTTTTTTTGTTAGGTTGTGGAGCCTGATTAATATTTGATGTACTGTTATATATTAATGTTCACGCGGTTTAGCCTCCGCGGTGAGGTTGCCAGGGGGTTATGGGGGGCGGGAGCCCCCCATCCGAAGGGGAGGGGGGGTTAGGTGCATCGCCTCGACCTAAGTTTTAGGCTGTACTATTTATTCTTTGTAACAAAAAATACTCTGATTTATTAATATATATACTCTACCGCCGTGGAAGTTTACTTACGTGGTGTTACCACGAAATATTAGTTTCTCTCTTTCTCTCTCTAGATCTCTCATCTCTTTCTCTTGAAAGTTCTTCATCAAGTGTGTGTGTGAATTCCATCCTAACATTTTTAACTTTGTTAAAGTTGCAACAAAATGATTGAAAATTTGATCTTCTCTTTTGTCCCTTTCTAAAGGTTTCTACATATAAACAAAGAAAATTGATTTCAATTGCAATGTGATACGTTGCTGAAATTGTTAATGGTTGAATTCATTACATGTGGTTCTTTATTAAGCAAAATTTATATTATCTTCTTTTTGAATTCAAATACATTAATGAAGCTTCTTGTAAAGAGTGTCTCATTTCTCAAAATTTTCTTCCTCTTTTTTCATGAAGTATAGTTTTTTACTGTAAATCATAGTGATTCATGTATCAATGACAATTATTTTTTTTTGTAATTTTGGTGACTTTTTCAAATTATGTTTAAAATTTTAGGGAGGATGATTGAAAATATATCTTCTCTTTTATTCCTTTCTACTTTTCTTAATATACTTTTTTGGAAAAATTGTTTGTGGGTTATGCTATATTTGATAGCACACAACAACAAATATTTGATAACTAATATCGAACCAATGATAAAGTTTGTTAAAAGAACCAAAATGATTGCTCTCTTGCTTGTCATAATTAGTATATTATATTGGTTGTGTTTTCTTGGTACAAACATTTTGTATGTCATTGCACTATTTCTAGAATATTTGTATAGAGACAATTAGTTCACATCTTTTATCGCAAGTTAATTAATTTTCATATACTTCTTCTTTTCTTTTTGGGCATATAAGAGATCAAGTTTTCGTGAAACTAACAAATGCCCAAAATACACTATAACAAAAATATTTTTTATCGACAATAAATATGCACATTCACTAAGAGTACTACAGTCTTTAACGGCATTGATAAATTGTCATTGGATTCAACGTTTCTATAGACTTTAGAGACATTTATACAGAGTATCAACTGCCGCTAAAATACACATTTAGTGATAATTAAGCTATTAATTATTGTTAAAGATCATTTTTGTAGAGAAAAATAATTTTCTTAAGAGACATTGTGTATTTAGTGGACTCAATTTCTTCTTTTCTATTTTTTTCACTCATTAATTTATACTTGTGATATTAATTGTTATTTTTGAATACATGTTTTAAGCTCAACTATTTATGTTTCTACAAAATTATTGTCTCCTGTTATATTGAACATATACACATAGTAAATATATTCGTTGTGTAGAAAATAATTATTATACTCACTTCCAAGAATTCATGTTTTGATATTGTATATGAAATTTTATAACTTAAAGGTACTAAAATATAAACTTATATATTGACTATTTTACATAAATATGAAGTTCCTCACTTATCATTGAAAAAAATCATTATGCAAGTTCAAAAGTTATAATTACTTTAACGATCAAGCATAATATTTTTTTTTTGAATCTGTTAACAAAGTTTTGAATTTTTTTCCGAGACATGTATCACAATTGTATAATTTATGCAACTTAAATGTGTTCTTTTTCTTACGAAATGTCTTAATATATATTATTATTATTATTATTTTCCTATTTATTTTCTTTAAAATGATGATTAAAGAAACAATGATTTATTATTTCCTAAATAGTTCATTCATTCGAGGTTATATAATAGGCTATTCAGTTATGTGATAATGACATATAATCAAAATTCATATTGTAATATTGTTAATATTTTTTTAAAAATCTATATTTCCCATTATTTTAGTGCATGAATATTAACAAATAATTATTTGCAAGTTCAATGCAATTTTTATTTATTTTGCATGGATAAATTACATAGTAATAATTATAAAACCATTGTATTTATTTGACAAAATTGCATATAAAATTCAAAAAAAATATTAATTTCACAGTGGAGAAAAGCTTAATCGTCACTTTGTTTCCTAATTGTGATGAATTATTTTAGAGTACTATTGTATATACAGAGTACTATTAAGAGTAGATTTCACCGTTAGTCCCAAAGCTTTGGAAAACAGGCCATGAAGCTCGGTCTCATTACTGCATATTCCCGTTCTTCTCCGACCACCGTGACACTGATCTCCGGCAATCCCCATGCTAAAACGGCGACGTTGGGCGTGAAATTTCCCTCTTCCTTCAGACTGAACTCCGGGTATAAAATCTCTAGCTTCTCCCTGACAATTTGTTCGTCCAAATCATCATCTTCAGTTGATTCTGCTGGTGCCGGAACGGAAACCTATAATCAAACTGTAGATGGAGAAATTTCGTCGCCTCAGGTTACGGAATCGCTCAATATTGAAGTCGGAAGCCCTAAAATTCTACCGAATTATTTCCCTCCCAAATTAAGCTTAAGTGACCAAGCTTTCTTTCTCTTGACCTTCATTGCTTGCACGGTACTTTTAATTAAATTCTCTATGTCTAGTTTCTTACCTTGAGTGCATTTTTTGGTTGAAAATTTGTCAGTCTTCGAGATTGCATTTTTAAAGGGTAAAGAAGTTTTATGAGATTTTCTTTGTTATGCAGACATCCGTGGCTTTCACAAGTCTGGTAGTTGCAACTGTGCCAACACTGTTTGTGAGTTCTCTTGATCACTTGGTTGGCAATTTCTTAGTACTTCGGTTTAAGCATTCTTAATTTTCTTCCCTTTTATTGAGATCATATATTTGGAAGAGTGTTTGCAACTGTTTTTGTGTATGGCGTTTGTATGTTTAAACTTTTGAGTGAAACTTCATGTGCCAGGTATCTATGTTAATAATTAGAAGCTAAGTGTGTGCTTTGCTGTAGAAAGCCAGGTTTTTGTGCAACTGGGTATATGATTGAGGGATTCTGTTTGAGTGTATGGTGAAAATGTCTTTCCATGATATATTGTATAAATGTTATAATTGGATGCAATCTAAAAAGTTATGTGCAACCTTCCCTATGTTTACTTCAGAAGGTCTTAGTTTTGTATCCTTTTGACTGGAGCAAACAAATAATTTTCTGAGATGACTCTCATTGAAGCTTGACAAGTTCGTTTAGTAGTTAGTTTATGCTGAGAGTCTTGGCTCCATTGAATAGAGATACAAAGCATGAGGTGAATTGTTATATTTTAAACTAAAAAGGGGTCAAAATGCTTCTAGTGTATTGAAAATGGTTTATACTTTTTGTCCTTCGACCTAGTGAACTATAATTCCCTTAACATTAAATTTCAGGTTAGAAATGACCCTCCTTCTACCTATTAGATCCCGTTGTCCCTTAATGTTAAATTTGGCGCTAATGCCCCTACTTTTATGGAGTTATGAGATGTCATATGCGGGGCTTTAATAAATTAGTATAACCTATTTAATTGAAGTCCTACATATGTCATCTCATAATTTCATTAGAGGGAATGGCGCTTTAAACCGTTAAGGGAAATTGGGATAGAGTGGAAGGGGGGGGGGGAGGGGGGAGGGAGGGAGGTATTTTTAACTCGAAATTAACATTAACGGCAATTATGGTCCAATAGGGGGAAGGAGTACAAATATTTAAACCAATTTTAATGTGTAAGGAACATTTTTGATCTATGTTAGAAGCCTTTCCCATCCCCGTACACATTAAAACAAAGAAATAGTTGAGCTTTGATCTTCTTTCACTTGCATACGCGTTTAGGTTGAGATTAGTCTTTAGAAGGTTCAGAGACCTTGAGAGATAACAGTGTGCAATAGAAGCTCCAAAAGTGTCATCATAAGATCCTACAGTTATTTAATTTGTTGGATTATACTATTTACGGATGTGTACACATATGATGTGGTCTACATCAATTAATTATGAGTAGTCCTGTTCTTGCACCAAGGCAAAATAAGAAAGTTTCTTCATAACAATCTAAAGGACGTGACCTAGTGAGATGGAAGACATTCTTTTCGTGGTGCTTGTGGTGCATTTGTGCTTGCTACAAAAATAATTGTCTTAAAGATCTGCTCTTCTTATTCGAAGGATAAGTGGAGTACTCATAGAACTTGGTCTCATTTTCTACACATGCCTTTTACGGAAATGGATTCTTGAAATGTAACACAAATAATTGCCATAACGGCCTATAAGTTATATATTGTGAGAAAAATGCTGATTACTTTGTCCAATGTGGAGCCAATAGTTTCGAAACACCTCAGTTCAACTCATTTGATCTTTTTCTGTAGGCGATGCGTAGAGCAGCAATATCTTTGTCAAAGTTGGCAGATACTGCTCGAGAGGAGCTTCCTAGTACAATGGCTGCTATCAGGCTGTCTGGGATGGAAATCAGTGACCTTACACTGGAATTGAGTGATTTAAGGTAACATATTTTTCTCACTCGAAAGGGACTGACCAGTTTCTCTTAGGATAAGCTCACTGAAGTTCTTTGAGGATATGAAAATCTTGGAAGCAAGATAGTGTTGGTACTTTGAAGGGAATAATGATTCCTAGTCAAGGACTAAGTTACTTAAACTTAATCATATACTTACCATGGTTAATGATATAAAGCTTATCCTTCACGTATTTTTTGAGACCCTTAATGTTTGTGATGACTCAAGAAATGTAATTCGTTGAACAAATCTCAAAGACAGACTCTCAATGTGATGGTTATTAGCATGCAAAATCAAAAGAAATATTTGGTTAGTTTGTTGTTTAGATGTCATGTTGCTGGTTTTGCAATATAATCTGGTGTACCATATTTTTAAGAGCTTCAAGAATAATAACATGGTATTCTGCAATACATGTTGGAGTTATCCAGATTATTTAAGTTATTTAGTCATATAATAATGGTTGGAATATAAATTCCCGTGCTTATTGGAAGTATATCAATGGAATGGGGTAGAAATTGGAAAGGTATCAATTTTTAATCAGAACTTTCGAAATAAACAAATTTACTTCTACAAGAACTCACAAGTAGCTGGAACTCGTTGCTGGTGGAGGTGGTAGGTATCCCGTGTAATTAGTCGAGGTGTGTTTTGTGCGGAAGTTGGCGCGAACACCACGATTGTCAAAAAAAAAAACTCAAAAGCAGCACTGCATAGAAAAACCTCTTAGGTAATTTTTACCTACGAACAATTGTACCTTGGGCTATGTGAACGTCCTTCTAAATTTGCCTCCCTAGCCCTTTCACTACCCAAGACCGTTGTGAGTGACTCCCACACTAACCCTCCTGTTGGTGAACCAACTACCTACCCAAAAACTTAACTAGAAAGACCATTTCTAAAGCCATGTCACAATATAAACAAAAGGAAAACAATTTAAAATAACATAAGAACTGAGTTCACAGAAACTCAACCAGAAGTCATAATAATTACAGAAATAAATCCCTAGAACTGAAAGTCGTAGTAACAAAATTCTAAATAGTCAAGGATGGGAATGCAACACCAAAAACTTATAAAAAATACAACCAACAGGCTAATGTCTTTTCCCAAAAAGATTGACAAATATATAGAGGAACCCATGGCAGCTTGGAAGAGCAACTCATCCTTGGATTCGAAGTCAAGCGTCCCTTAATTGAGGTCTCGTATTAGTCGTTGGCTTGTACTCAACAAGAAAAGAACAGGTGTTGTGTCAGTATATTGATTGTGTACTTGTAGGATGATAAGACACGTATCTTCCATACTTATTCAAGAAGGAAAAAGCGAAAAAAGATAGGAGAATCTTCTCAAATTCCTAGAGGTTTCACCAATGGAGCATTGAGCAGTTTCTTACAATTATTAGGAGTTATTTGGCAGTTCCTTCATGGTTACTAGAAGTTATCCATCCTTATCATTAATAGTTATGAAGTAGTTATAGTTATCTATTATATAATAGGAGATCTAGTAATGAGTAGTAATAAGTACTGCAAGTGGTAATATATCTTTTATATGCATAAAAGGTTTTACGAGATAAGAGATACTTTGTGTCTCTCTTTGTATTTTTGTTGCTTTTATCCAGTATAAAACCTCAGTTTCTATCATTGGTATCAGAGCAGTAAGATATGTCATGGTTAACACACCAAACCAACACTTCCCACAATAAACCTATCATGTCGACTCTAGATCAGGTTGGCCAACAATTGACCACTACAACAACAAAGTTGAGAGCCATTGTTTGGCTGCTGATGTGGCTGCATTAGAAGCACAAAATAGCCAAAATCAACATGGAAAATCTGAAGTTTTATTGGTAGGGGGCGAGGTTGATAGCACATGGAGGCATCAAGAAACTTATCGACGTTAGCACACGAAGATGGGATTTCCCAAGTATGAGGGAGGAGATCCTCGAGGTTGGATTCTGAAAGCAGAGAAGTATTTTTGAAATTATCAAACACCTAATGATTGCAAGATTGATGCTGGCCTTAATGTATTTGGAAGGAGATGTATTGGATCTTTTTGCTTGGATCAATAGTGAAGAGCTATTATTACTGGTATGAGTTGGTGAAAGTTATGCAAGAAAATTATGGACCGCTAAGTTTCAAATCCAGATGAACATTTTAGTGAAGTATCCAACAGATTGGATCAGTGTTTGAGTATAGGCATGAACTTGCAAAACGGGCAGCGTGTATGCAAACATGGCGAGAACTTTGTTTGCTCGGGTTTCCCTTACCGAACTCAAAGAAGACCTTAGTGTGGACGTTAGGATTCAAAAACCTCGATTTGTGTATAAGGCAACAAGTTTAGCCTTAGAATATGAGGCAAACCAGGACAAATTTGTCCAGTAACTTACCTGCTTGGCCTTCTATATCAAGACCTTCATCAATTAAGACTTCCTTTCTAGCGGCTCGAGAATCCGTTAATTTTCAATCATCCCGCCAACCAGTTGCATGCCCTTTTCAAGAAGTCATCTCTTTCAAACTCTTGCCCACTGAATTAACTTTAACGTTATAAAAAAAAAAACTTGCCCACTGAATTCTGAACAACAAATTCGGTGAGTAAGAGGCCCATGCTACCGTTGTGGAGACTAGTTTACCCCTGGTCATCGCTGAAAACCTGAGACTTTTGCACATTTGGAGTTAATATAAGAGGAAAACGATGTGCAAAGTGTTGACAGTAATTTGAATAAAGACATATCCTCTACTGATTTGGGGGAAATCTCTTTTCATGCAATTTTGGGCAAAGAATCTGCTTCAACTTTGAAACTTCAAGGCACACTTTGCAGGCACAAAACGTTGATGTTGGTAGATATTGGTTTGATGCATAATTTTGTAGTAGAAGAAATTGTCACGAAACTTGGGTTGGCAGTCCAACATATCCGTATTTCGGTGTCCAAATAGGAAATGGTGAAATTATCATATGCAACAAAGTTTGTTGTGGCCTATCAGTAGAGGTTTCTAACTTGGTCATGAAGCACAATTTTGTTCCCTTTTTCCTTTGGTGCCGCAAACATGGTGTTAGGTAAACAATGGCTAGCATCCCTAAACACAATACAAGCCAATTTGAACTAAATGTTCCTAATGTTCCAATTGAATGAGAACTTATAAACTGCAAGGTGTTCATCATCAGAAAACACTCCCAACAACATCTTTCCAATCATACCTTGAAGAACGTATGTTGACTAGAGATGCTATGTCGAACCTTATGAAGGCAGATTATAAGCGCATAAGCCTCCCTTCTAATGTTGGTGATGCTGCTATTTTACGTCTTCAACCATATGGACAGAAATCTCTGTTAGCTGCACAGTTTCTCGATTTTCGCTTGAGGACAAGTTGTCTTCCCCGGATAGGTGTACTGATAAGGCACGTATTCATACTTTTTCAAGGAGGAAGAAGCAAAGAAAGATGGGAGAAGAAAATGATTTGCATCTTCTCAAATTCCTAGAGGTTACAGAGGTTACCTAATCCTTATCCTAAACAGTTATGAAGTACTTATAGTTATCTATTATATAATAGGATATCTAGTAATAAATAATATAGGTGGTAATATATCTTTTATATGTAGTTGTTCTCTAAGTTGCTTGGACTCGGGTGCGGGTATCCAAGAGTCAGATTCGGCGAAATTTAATATTGAGATTCAAGGGTCCAAATTCGAGTGTGGATACGGGTGCGGGGATTCGGCTAACAGTATTCAATATTATAAAATATAGTTGTAATATTAATAATACTAAATATCTTGTAAAACTCTATACTTGAAAACATATCAATTATAAATGTGCAAATTTAAAAGCATAAATTAATTATGACTACTTACTAAAGTAATTAATTTTAAAACAATTATAATTTCTTCTATTTATTATTTAAAAAAAAAGAAATAATCATTATAGCCTAACAATTATATGGTATAATTCATTAAAGTGCTGGTGTTGCCCTTTCTTCTCCCAAGAAAGCCCTCTCTTCCCCCAAGAAACCTTTAGCCTTCTCTGTTCCTTTTCAAGAAAAAAAAGTGTACTCTCTCTTCTTTTTCAAGAACAAGACTTTGTATTTATTCTTCTCTCCCATGAAGCCTTCACCTCCTCTCTATTTTTGTACAAGAATTCTTCTCTATGGAGCAATTAAACCTTGTGACAACTTCGTTGAAGAAAAGTCGTCTAACTTTTGCCGGTCTTCAAATTAATATTTTCTTAGAGGCAAAGAGATACTTGTCTCTCTTTGTATTTTCTATTGTTCTACGAGATACGAGATACTTGCATCTGTACCTTGGTTTCTATTATATGATCACACAACCAGTTCCAAATTATGAATGTAAACAAATAACCGCAACATAATAAACACGGCCAACACAAATAACAACAGTCACCATCACAACTCCAGTCATGAATCACCAATACTTTGAGTATGTCTCACGTGATCACAATAAATAAGAACTCGGTCGTCTCATGGAACCAGCACAAATACACTTACCCGGTGCTCTCAAGGAACTCACACACAAACTGTTATTAGTGTACCAATGTGTTACCCAAGCCAACCAGAGTTAGAATTCATAGTAGGTGTGGTAATCGAGCCAACCGTAAGTAATCTTATACGAGCGTGGTACTCGAAACAACCAGCATTCACAGACAATCATGCACAATCACAGTCATAATGAACGATAACACTTGAAACCATCAGTAAAGTAAACATGTTCATTGCAAGAATTTATCAACATGATGTCATTTCATATGCTTTCTTATGTTTTCCCCAACATGCATTGCACAAGTGGTATGATAAAGCGGTAGATATGCGTAAGTACATAAATTGGAAAAATACAACTATCACCTACCTCAAATAAAGCCTCTTGGAAACTCTAAAGAACTCTAGCGTTTTCCTTTTTCTGTGTATTGACTTGTTCGTGGTCTTAAACAATGATAATAATACAATAATAAAAAAATAGTGGCTAAACAATAGCCAGATTATACTCAAATTCTAGCTAGCCCCAGGACACAAACCAGGGGTCTTCCCACCATTAATTAAAGTCAAAACCTTCCCCCCAAGAGTAATACTCTAGATTCTTAGGATCAAGGATTGAATTACAAGTCAAGGGAGTGGGAAATCTTACCTTCATCGAGAAGAATGATTCAGTCGCCTCTGTAGTTACACTAAATGAAATAACCAAATAATGATTGGTTTTGGACTTTTCTGCCCAAAAGCTAGACTTTTCCCCTCTATAGCGGCCTAGCCTGCTATATTGCCTGCACACTCTCGCTATAGCATCATGAACTTCAAAGACTCGGATGCCCCTAAAAAAGTCCATTTGTCACAACATACCTTCTTTTCTTGATGTTCCAAACTATTTCCCTTGTCAAGTTCGATTCCGGGAGTTTTACTCACCCTGAATTTGATTCCGTAAAGCCCCATGGGTTCCTTAATATCTTGACTACTAGTAAATATAAATCAAGCCTAGACATTTCTCTCCACCCATTCCTGGATGACCCTAGACCTCACTTCGATCAGGTTCAGTTTGAGACTGGCCTAGCCTAGAATTGTTAAGTCATTACCAGATAAGTTTTCTAGCACCATTTTTCTTTCATCATTGGCCTAGTCATAACGAACGGGGCGGGTCGTTACAGGCCCATACTTGACAAGATGCTAAGGAGCAATTACCTTTTCTCTGGGTTTCTACTTACCACATGCCACATCTTTTTCATTATGGTAAATAGCTAACGCTGATAACCTTGTTCATTTTCGTCCTTGCACTACTTGTGTGTCACTGGTGATCCCACTCTCCATAGATTTCACTTCTTGCAAACAAGTTCTATTTCATACCTTTGTCATATTTCCTGATAACTTTTAATCCTCACTTTCTGCTTATAGTCTGTTCTCAGAATCATGTATGATGGAAAAATATCCTCTAATAAATGCAAATTAGTGCAGTTGTTTACGGCATGCTATAAATTTATGACCTTAGATAGGAAGTTATGGAGGGACATATATTAGGGTAGATGGTTAGTTATGTAGTTGAGAGTTGTCTTTTGCTTATTTCTATCAGTTATGGTACTACTTTGAGAGCTTCTTGTTATTCCATCGCTGTGTCTATCTGATGTTTCTTGCACTTCGATTATGGTATAATTGTTGTAGTGGTTATTCCTTTTTAGTATGCTTTGTCATGCTTTCTTTTGCAATTTGTCTCGACTTCTTCTCTCTCGTTGTTTCCTTTTCAAACTGCTTTGTAATGTTTTTACTTACAACCTCTCTACCTCACAAGGTTGGGGTAAGATCTGCATATACACTACCCTCCGCATACCCCACTTTTGGAATTTCATTGGGTATGTTGTGATGTTTGTTTATGACATGATAATGATTCAAATCCATCTCAGGGAAGAAGTTCAGCTATAGTAATGGCATTATCTTAAGTTACCAATTTCAAAAAAAAAGTAATGGCATTATCTTCTTGATATTTCCTTGAGGAGTTTGGAGAATAAGGTCTGGTATCTCCAAAGAATTTAACTTGAAGTAAACTGAATGAATTTTTCTTCTACTAGTAGAATTAAGAAGAGCGAGTACCTGATAATATTTTATTTCTCTAACAACCTGCTGCTTTGGTTGCTCTTGTGAGCTCAACGTACTTGGTCTTCAATATCAAAAGAATGTGAAGTGTCCTATGGATTCAGAGTCCGATGAATCCAACATCAGTGAGATATAGATAGAACAGATTGGATCAAGGTAATTCCAGCTTAATCTCCACCTAACTGGGTTGAGTGGCTAGCTAAGAGTTTCTTGCAACTCACTGATATCATCGCTGAATGGTTTTGCGATATTGCCTTCAGATTTGACCACCTCTCTTAATCCTCTGTGGTAGGCACAGTTGGACGTGATTTCCTGCTTTGGTTATGCTTTTAGGCACAAACTAATTTTTGCAACTATGGGAAGGAGAGAACAAATATAGTATCAGTTGTACTACCTGAGGAGTGAGGATGGGTATTCTATTGATTTAATGTGCGGAGTTTAGAGATTACAAAGTTTTCCAAAAGTTGGGGTTGAAAGTGAAAGATTTCAAAAGAGTTAATGTGAAACTAGAGAAGAAATTAATAGGAAAATAGAACACTTGTGGTAGTTTTTTGGACATTAGGTTTCTAACATGCTATTTGTTGAGAGAAATCCCTAGACTTTTCCTGTTAATAAGAAAAGAAAATAGGAAAAAGAACTTCAATATAAAGAAATGTTAAACATCAACCAAGAGCTTATGAGAAAATGGGAATTAAGATGACACATTGTCAAATTTAAAAACAATTCCAACTGAAACAATCTAAAATAGGATGTTGCAGGTGCCCGGTGGAATTTGCAGCGTGTGGGTATTGAAACATAATTTCAGAAGCCTTAGGCCATTCTTATTGTGGAAAAAACGTAATAAAATTGGACTCTCTAGTGAGGTAATAGAATGTGATTCACGTGAAGCTTTCTAATAAGGTGGCCAAAGTTTGAGGCAAATGTATGAGCTCATGTCCACGGTCAGCAGTTGCGTGGACTCTTCACTTTTGATGCCACACCCGTGTCGGATTCTCCAAAAATACACTACATTTGGCGAATCTGACACACCTCCATTGACATTTTGAAGAGTCCGAGCAACATAGACAGTCAGTTTCATAATTTTTCTTTAAGCCGCACCCTTTGCCCATTAATTGAGATATCTTTAAGCTACGACACAATATATGTTCCTGAGAGTAATGTTGTTTGTTATTGTATGTGATACTCAGTCAAGAGATAGCTGATGGTGTCAACAAATCTGCTCGAGCTGTGCAAGCAGCAGAAGCTGGAATCAGACAAATTGGGTCTCGTGCTCACCAGCAAACAATGTGTATGTTCTCTCTCATATGTTCCTTCCATAAAGGCAGATCATGTGACTTCTTCCTAATTTAAGACTGCTTACTTTCTGTTTGAATGTGTCATTAGCAATGATTCAGGAAAGAGCAGATCTTCCAGTCATATCTTTGCAGCCAGTTGTAACTGGAGCAGCAAAGAAGACTTCTCATGCTGTCACCCAAGCTACGAGAAGATTCATGAATATGATCTCTGGAGGTGAACTTGGCTCAGAAATGGAAGACAACGGTAAAATTGATCCAGAATCTTAAGAGAGCATATCTCCATTATTTTACTCTATCCTTGGCAGAGTAACAACATGTTTATATGTTCCAAACAAAATTCTGAACATGAACAACACATGTACTAAACAATGATTCAGAACGTTTTTCAGTAAATAATAGCCATCTTTCAGGAATGAGGTAGGCAGCCACATTTTCACGCCTGCTGTGTGGGAAGGAGAGTTTCGTCTGCTCGATTTCGCACTCAAGATTTTCAGAACTGCACAGCAAATCATGGTTATCCAGTTATTCACTAGTGAGCTACTTAATTTGTTCAATTTTATTTACAATTTGGATATTTTATCTTTGCACATGGTGAACCACATGTGTTTCTTGAGAATACGCTAGAATGATTTTCAATGTTAAATGCTCTTACATAGATTTAATTTACTAGTTAAGGAAATGCCCTGCTCAGGCCCAACAGTTTGTTGTTCTTTTCATGGAATTTTTACCTCTATATACTCTGATAGACTTGTTATTTTCCTTTTTGGGGTAATTTTTTTCCCAATGTATAACATAGGTGTACATTTAATAGCTAAAATTATAGAATACGGGACTATGTTTAAACTTAAAAATGTTTACTACATCATCAGAATTTTGTTGTGGGTCAAGTGTGGTTTTCCACTTTCTTAATGATTCCCGGATTTCTTTTCAGATCAATGAAGAAAAGAAACACGGAGAAGGTAAAGTTATTGAGAAAAAAAAGAATAGGTTTCGAATAAGAAATTGATTCAAGGAATTTCATTTCAATCATTTTTGAATTTTTGCTAGATTTGAAGGTTTGAGAAGGTTTGAAGATTTGAATTTGTGATGAGTTTGGATTGGTTGTTCTTGCAAACAATGTAAAATATACTTTCGAGTTCATATATCATTTTTGATGGAGATAGGCTAACCTTCGAGTTGATTTTTGGAAAAATATTATACTAAAACATGAAGAAGATAAAGTTTCTAAATTGTATCATGATTGGTGTTAGAGTTGTATCATCGTTCTTTCATTAATTGTATTAAAAACTGTATATGACATGTATCTGATATTTCCATAACTAAAACAATACATGAAACAGTACTAGTACAAGTATGATACAATATAGCAATAGGGTCATTATATTTGCATCTAAAACATTCTAAGATTTTGTCAATCACTTTACATGCTATTGTATTAAAAATATATTATTTGTATCAGGGAAAAATGTAAATTCTCTTGCAAGCTTATCATGAAAAGTCAAGTGTAGTCATCGATTCTCTCGTGAGGTCACAATTGCCGCGAGTAAAGATATTAATGACGAGGAAGGCTTTTTTGTTGTGCTACTAATACTTGCTCTGTTATTCTGCCCAAGCCTGGCTGAGGAAGAGTTACGGGGCGTAAAACAAAAAATTACGGCGATCGAGCATACTATGTGTTATGATTCCTCCATTCACGATAAATAAAAAGATAAAAAGCCATTTCATTTCGACAAAAGACCCACATCCAAGTCCCATAGCTTTTGGTTCGCCATCCTATTCATGATTTTCCTACCTCCAGAGTGAAAGGTACTTCCCTTTTGGGCCGGTTGTGGGCGAGGAGGGACTCGAACCCCCGACACTGTGGTTCGTAGACACGTGCTCTAATCCTCTGAGCTACAGGCCCCACCCCGTCTCCACTGGATCTGTTCCCTTGATTTCCATATTCGAAGTTGCGGTCGGATCTATTCATTAAAAAGAATCAATTCAATAAATGTCTTATGTACCCATATTGGATTTGAATCAGATTTCGGATTAATTTTTATTGAGTGACTGCCTCCATTATGTTGTTTCTAGCAAAATACCACTATTTTTGGTTTTGATCTTCCAAATCATTCCCGCAGGAGATCCTGACCCATTTTTTTCTGATTCTTCGAGAAAAAAGATGTGGAAAGACCTTTCTACCCAACCTTACCTAAGGTCGAGCAGTATGCAACTCCGATCCCTAAGCCAGTTAGCCTTTGACAGGCTTTCTCATGCAAAAGAATTCGCCCGAGCTTCTGACCACGATTCTGAAAGAAAAGATTGGTTGTACAGTCGTTAGCGAAAGAGTTAGCCGCATTTATGGAATTAAGGAGAAGGTAAATAGAATAGAACAAAGTTAGGGGGCGAAGCGGTTCCTGGCGTGAAAACTCTCAAACTATTGTAATGATATATTACACACTTAAATTATTTAAAAGTAATTTTTTTTAAAAAATGAGAATTTATTTTCACCTTGATGCACATATTACTAGTTACATGACGAGAAGTATTTCACACTCGCGCCACATCATCACTATGTCACAGTCACATCAACAATTATGTCAGATTTTTTAAAAAAATCATGTCAATCCAATTGCTTCTTCTTTCCCTGACACTATCAGACCTACCATTAAACCATCATATTGTTGTCATTATTACTAAACTCACTACATCTCCACCATTATATATTTATCACCGACAATCAAATTTACCACCAGAATTTTTTTACAACCTTTTTCACCATAAAAAATGCAAAGTATCATAATTAATATAACTAGATTCACAATCGAAATCATATTACCATCATTACCATTTTTAAAATTCATCACGATCATGATTACAAATTTCACATCCACTATCAAAATCGTACAAATTTCATTGTTAGTTGTGAAAATTAAAAGTCACACCAACACTAATTTTATCACTCATTATCATATTCATCACAAAAGATTTTACAAATTTCGTTCTAGTTCAAAAAGAAAAAAGGTGAAAAATAAAAAGTCAATTCATAAGAGAAAATAAAAATAAAGTTGTCTTCTTCTCCTCCTCCTCCTCCTCCTTCTATTCTACTTCTACTTCTTCTACATCTCCTTCTCATCCTCCTACTTCACCTTCTACTTCTTCCCATCTTTCTCCTCCTTCTCCTTCTTCTTATTCTTCTCCATCTACATCTCCCTCCCCTCCCACTCCCCCTCCCCCTCCCCTCCTCCTCCTCCTCCTCCTTATTTATGCATTCTTCTTTAGGCGTTTTAGATCACTATGATAGTTCATGTGTGTAGCTGAATTTTTCATACAAGTTCAAGGAAAAATTTATGCATTTTTCATAGTTATATACTCAATACGTGCATTCTTATATGCCTATGATATGTATAATATACTAATCTCAAGATATTTATTTCTTTTATGAAACATGTCAAAAAGTATTAACCAAGACTTCAACCATTCATGTACTAGTTAAATTAGTTTAAGTGTTAATATATTAACATTGTGATAAAATGTATTTATATAACAAAATTTCTAGTTTAAAGAGTAATAAATATATGACTTAATGTATAAATATATTAACATCAATGTCCTTCTACTTTGAGTGTGTATAAGTGAACACTTAAACTTGTATAGAGTTAAACTAGTAGACACACACTCTTATGTGAAGGAAGCCACATAGAGTCCCCCATAAGAGGCGAATTGCCATATAAGATGTCAAGTAGGACATATGCGTCTATTTGCTCAACACTATAAATATTTTAGTGCCTTATGAGCCCAAGTTAACGGCCACGTCTATGTGTTGTGCTAATATATGAATATGCTATTTAATTTGGCTTGAGTTGACATTCATGTGCTCCAACTTTGGGTGTGCACAAGTAGACCTTTAAACTTGTACAAAATTAAACAAGTAGAAACATGTTTCTTACGTGACATAATATACTTAGAATGTCACGTAAGACACAAATTGCGACATAATATACCATGTATGACAAATGTGTCTATTTGTTCAATTTTATACAAATTTAAGTGTTATATATATATATATATATATATAACAAGGATAATTATGTAATTTTGCCATTAAATTGAGGAGATTTCTAGAGGATGAACAAGGGCACATGGGTAATTTCGCTATACTTTTTGGATCTGTACATTTGTTGTGTATCCACTTTAGTTCTTTCCTTGTTTACCTCGATTTCTCCTCCACGTTTGCTCTCCCATTGTTCTATATTGATTTCTCTCCTACAGCTCCTCTCCATTAATCTCCATTTCTCCTCAAATTTGCTGTCCAGGTAATACAAATTAGAGAGTTTATTTCAAAGTAAAACGATTTGGGCAAAATTCTAGAAAATTCGACATAGTGGTCAGAAATTAGAGAGAAGAAGAGGTGTAGAATACAACTCAGGTAACAACCTTTTTGAGCTTAAATTTGAACAAATTATTGTTTTGTTCTTGAATGCAGCATCAGATTTGATTATTGTAGCCATGAGACAATTTTGGTGTGTTTTGTTTCTGGTCTTCAAATTTGAATGCTTGGCATAAGTCTAAGCCCAGGAAAACTTTATAGGAAACCCTATTTAGAAGAGGGAGTTGAAGAACTAAAAAAACTTTAAAAAGTTGTTCAGCTCTTTCATTCATACTACTGGCAACTCCCTGATTCACCATAGAAAAAATTGTTAACGATGGAATTAATCAATGTGCACAGTATTTTGTGACAAATCAGAATGTGCATGTCTAGGATGAATCCAAAAGGGGGATTTCTAGGAAGCACAAGATAAAAATACAAATATTTAGGAAATCATGAAAGAAAGCTCAAATTGAAATGCTTACCGGTGAACTTATGAAAAATAATAGAGCTTCATAGTAAATGAACAAAGGTTGTTGATCTTCTCAACTTCCTTGTCTTCAAATAATTCTTTTAGATCATTTAGTCAATTTTGACTGGATAAATCAATGCTATTTCAATTTTAATATTGGTGTTAAGTGTTCTCCTTTTTACTTTTTGACAGAGCACTCTTCTTACACCAAAATTTGGAAATGCTCAGTAAATATTTCTAATCTTCCTTCCATCTCTTTTATTTTTTTTGTCTAATCGCGTTTGGTGTTTTCTCTAATCCATTCATTAGAGCATATTTATTGGAATCTAATAATATTTTTGGGTGTTCCGATTTTTCTACATTATGGTTTGCTATTTTCTTTCAAGGGTGAAGTTCTGTCTTTCTTTGCACATAACATGTTTGATGAAAGTTATGTTCAAATTGTAGATTAATGATCCATTGATTCATAGTATATATGTAGTCCACTTCTATAACATCACAAAATAATGGATTACAATTATGAACTCTTGACTACGATTGAACATTAAAGCAAAGTAACACTAACAATACTGATACTTCAAGCAGCTACACCTATGTTGATATGGACACATGCCTTTCTTAAAAGATAAATATAGTTGTTGCTTTTTGGGTGAATTTGTGACTTCATGTTGTTGCCAATAGTTTCCTTGATGAACAATTTCAGCACTTTGAACATTCTTCAGCTACAATTTGTTGAGGCCAACCGTGAAACAACTTTGGTAGAACAACTTCTGTTTGGCATGTTTGTTGTTACCCCTGTCTTTGATAAGAATTAATTGTTGCCTTTGATGAGGTTGGCTGCTATGGTTTGATACCTCATTTTGAGGTTGAATCATTGTTGCGTTTGGTCTTTTTCTGCTCCATTTTTTTATGTATTTTAAACCACAGGTTGCTGATTTTGTATCGTATTGCTGCTGAATTTTAGACTAAGCTATTTATTACACTTCTGATCAAATTTCAGTCTATTGTTGCTATATGTTCGAGCTAAATTTTGCTACACTTTTGGCTATATTTGAGCCAATGGTTTGGCTATGTATTTTGCTAAACTTTGCTGCACTTTTAAGTTAACCAACTGCTGCATTTTTGTCAAAAATATTGCTGCTACAAATGTTGCACTTTGGGCAGAAGTTGAGGCTTAAAGATTGCTGCATTTTTGCTAAACTATTGCTGCATTTTTTAGCTGATAGGGGTTCATTATTGCTCTGCTTTTTATACTGGTATTATCGCGTTGGTTTCTAGAGATGCACTTGCGGTTATAGTAAGTGAAAAACTTGATAGAACAACTTACTTTTTTTCTTGAA